CCTCATCAATCAGATTGGCATTATCTTTGGCATCAACAACTCGAGAGGTTAATGTCTCCCGTTTCACTTCTCTATCCTTCTCAAGCAGATTTGTCACTTCCGGTTCCATGGGCCACTGACTTTTGCTTTGCCAAAGGAATTTAGGTCCATTCCTCCATTTATCTGACGACAACAGGCAGTCTGCATCGAGCCCCCTGGAAGCGTCATCAGCCGGATTGAGATCCGTACTTACGTAACGCCATTGCTCAGGTGATGATGCCTCATGGATTGTTGTCACTCGATTGGCCACGAAGGTGTGGAAACGCTTCGTTTGGTTCCTAATATACTGCAGGACAAGCATGCTGTCTGCCCTGTGCTGATGTTGGTGAATTATCTATGTTTCACGAGGTTTCTTATAACATTCCAACGGCAAATACATTTTTTGTGATTTTCTGAGTAAAAAAGAAAGCAACTGGTTAACATGTGTCAGAAAAAAAATGAATGTGCACTTTGAAGGAGTAATGGTAAAAACCCTTTGTAAGACTTGGAGTCCGTATCAGACATAAACTCTCAAAAAGCGACGTCCAGAAATAAAACTTGGATGTAAATGCACAATCATAGCATGTATGACCCGCTAACAAAGCAAGCTACAAATACTGCACGGCCAGGAGGACACTGCATATATGGTGTGCATCAATCATGCTACCACTTAAGTGACTTAAGAGGTGACTTTGCATTCCGAAACAGTTTGCCTATGCTGAGCGGGAATTTTGAAGTTTACAGCACCGACGGAACCGTTACAGTTCAGGCACGATTCGAGAAACCTTTGGTGAACTGCAGCCGTAGTCATGTTGTTTTACCAAAAAATCCGTCAATTCTGCTTTTTCTAGTGAAGAAGAAATTGCAGGAAACGTGTCGTGGCATTGGGTTTGATGTTTGTTTGGTGTTTTTTCGTAAATGTGACGGATATTGGAGCTGCAACAACATTTAAAGTCATATTACCGTGGCGGCCATCAAGCAAGCTGTGAGTGCTGCAACATATACATGTACAAGTATGATTCGACATGGCTTCCATGGAAGTTCCAACTTACAAACTGCATTTTGTCCACAAACGGTACGTACGTTTAAGAACCCTGGTGTCAACGGCGCGGGGATTAAGATCGACAGCTAGATATCCCCAAATATTTTTTTGTAATTCTCATCCCAGGAATACACCACATTAGCCTGTAAACTCCCTTTGGCTAGACCCCAACCGCTGCCGAGTTGAAATTCTTGAAAGATCAGTCACCCCATGGAGGAAGGGCATGGTCACCCCAAGGAGCCCATATGGTCGCTTTCAGGAGCTGGATCTCTTTGGTGTCCTGACTGGTCGGCTGTTGGGTTGTGACAGTTACTTATACAGCAGGATGATAGAATAAGAGGGGATCTCAGGGATGCATGAGCTACCATTGTTGACAGTCCTTTAGGTTCAGGCATGACTGGGAACTGACCTGGAGACTACAATCACCTCATGGAGGAAAGGTATAATTTAGGAGGCGGAGTCTAGTGATATGTGTCTTTCGTGTCTGTCATTATTACAGTATAAATTTTGCTTAAAATGGTTACCAGAAGTAATAAATTTGTCAAAATTACAGATTTCAAGTAATTCTTACATAAAGAACGCCTATAAACTTGTTTGGACGGCTTCACTAGCCAAGGCGCTGTCATATGTTGTCAGAATAACCCGAGAACAATAATTGATTTTCCTATGGAAGGGAAAACTTGCGCAAGTTCACGGAACATGGCCAGAGAAAGAAAGGTCGCAGTAACCAGGTAAAATATAGAAATTAAAATATATTCAAAATTTATTTCCTAGACACAAATCACAATTCAAGGTAATCAAACTGACAGGTGCACCCAGTCTTAAGACAGGCAATGCATTAATCAAATATTAATACATGTACACACTTGACATCGCTATATAGTGCTATATAGTGCACAAGTCACTCAGTGAAATACAGCTCAGCACCTAGAAAAAACTGGCTTTGTGACGTATGGTGTACTTCTAATGCTGACAAGCTTGACTGTTTTTTTATTATGTCCAGAAAAACATGCTGCTTAAAACCCCAAGTCCAATGCTGGGGCTCAAATGGGTACATCCTTTCTAACATCACATGGGTACTTGAAAGTGAAGTTCTATGGGACTACAGCTTGCCTTCAACAACCTGCTTTATGGTATGACTCCTGTTTAATTGTAATATTTATTTGTTTCTTTCATTTGTTTGGTGACCCTTCCAGCTGCTGCTGTTGGTCATTTTTGTCTTGTATACCAATAAATACAATTTTAAAAATAATCAAAATCATACAGATCTCCATTGGCTGGTTTTCCAGAAAAACTAGCATTACTCAAGTAGTATTAAAACCTTTGCAAATGACAATTGAAAAGTTGAATTAATGTTCTCACAAATAGTCATGTTGACAACTAAATATCATCATTGGTTTTCTTTGGTGTTGAGCACTGACAAGTTCTCCAGTGATTGTTCGAATAAATGGCTCAGAAAATCACTCTTTGGGACATTATTAGTCACTCAAAGCTTAATTAACATGCAACGGTCGTCAGCTCCCCTCGTGGTAGACCTGCAAGAGGTTGAAGGTCACTTCTCCAATGTCAAAGGGCGCATGCATCACACCAGGCTTCAGGAGGTAGTCCAGTACACCTCTTGTGCGGTTTTTCTGCATCATATCCGAGATTTCCTCCCATCGTTCCTGGAATTGAGTTTTGAAATCAGAGAAAGAAAAACCGAGGTTGAATTACCGTCCACCAGTAAAATGGCATACTTTTCACAGAAGTTGAATTTCCCATTTGAAAAACTCACTGGCTGTAAACTACACGAGAGAGAGATTTACACTAACAAATCTCCTGATGAATAGCGTTTATGTAACTTGACCAATGAGCTTGTGTGAAACAGACTGTCAATACCAGCTTAAGGTCAAATCTATTTTATTTCATTGAACCAAGGACAGAATATCCATGATAAATAGCAGATATTACTAGAGTTTGGTCACCGGCCTACTACCATGACTGAATCAATTGTGATTCGCCAAAGAAAGGAAAATTCAAGAAAGCAAACTATCCACACGCCTGGCAAATCTTGGAACTGAAATAGTGGTAACATTGAGCATACTTCCTAAAATGACTCCACACTCTCTCACGAATGAGCAAATCCTCACTGGCAAAAAGTAAAACACACACACACCAAACACATGTAGCCTAAAAAGAGTGATAACCAAAATTGAAAATGAAGTTAAATGGGACATAAAGGGAAGCATGAAGGGATGCAACAGAATTACTGCATCACACCTGTTCATTCTCCTTGTCACCAAACTTGTAGGCAGGCAGAGTTGCTGACTGGAGGAGGAGATAGATGCTTTCCATGCATGCATCAACAAAGAATTTCTTCATTTGGCCAAGGTCTCTCTGTATGAGCACAGCAACAAAAAGGGAATCAGTGTTGCCAACAACTTTTGTTGACACACTGGGTGAAAAATTTTGACTTTGACTTTTGACTTAACGGATATACATGTGTATACATCACGAAACAAAAATCCAGTGTTGGGGGGGTTTTCTTGTGGTTTGAAGCTTAAGAAACCATAATACACTCAAAGATTTCTGAGAACGCTTTAAACAAAAGCAATTCAATATAAAACACCAAAAAAGCGTAAGGAGTTTACAGACTGAAAAAGATCTCTCTGCAAAATTCTCTATCAGCAAAGAAAACCACCCATCATTAAATGTTCAATTTTTGAAAACAAGCAGCCTTCTGGCACATGTAGCTTCTCACACTTTGTTCACTGTAAAAATGACTGAGATACGCCAAGACTCACCTTGTCTGATTTTTTCATTGTTCGCCTTTTGTATGCCCAACAATTCTAGTGAAAGGAAAGGGAAATATTGGTCTGATATTCTTAAGATGAAACAACTGTTACAGGGATTATATTCCTGCAGTTTTGGAAAAAACGGAAAGCATAAACTTGTTTGGAAATGCAAATTATTAAGATTTTAATTTATACCATGTCACTTAATTTCTTTCTGACCTTGTCCATTCATGTGTGTCCAATACATAACAAGTGTAAAACATAAAAAAGGTAGCTTGAAGGTAATGGCGTATTATTCAAGTATTTCTATCAATGTTCTATCACCAAAACGATTTCAGAAAATAAACAAGCACTGGAAAAATATTATGCAAAATAAATAACACATTACCCACATGCATAACACTTACATTTCTTCAAATGGTTTTTAACTACATGTATGTGTAAACTAACTACAATAAATATGTATGTTTCCTGCGAAAGGAAAAATGAAACTGTCTCATGGACTTCATTTTACCCTCAAAGCATCCATTATGTCTGGATATTGCAGAGCCTCAGGGAAACTGGAAAGAACAGGACTATGAATAAGATCTGCCAGAGAAATGAACCAAGACACAAATACTTCAGTGAGGTGAAAGAGCGGTACGCTAGGACAGTACTTGAAAAAGAAAACTGTCATCTGAAATATTTCTGTTGAATGACGCCCACGCGAGCTCTTCCATGGCTCCTCACTGATGTACATGTATTTGAATTTGACTCAACCCTAAATCTAATGCCATTCACAAATACATAACTATTTAAGAATTGTCAACAGGTGTCGTACTATGTCGTATATTCACCATAAAGGGCAGTCTAGTCTGCCTCTTGGTTTCTTTCAGCCAAGGCACCCAGGAGGAATAGTCTGTGTTGGGTTTTTCTCTTCATGAATTTAGTGTTAGTGTGCGGTATTTTTTGTAAATGTATACACATACATGTATTAATTTAGCAGTTTGTCACACAGTGACTTTTTCATGAACCTTTTACACATATTGCTCCTGAAGCCTAAGGCAGCTGCCTTTTTTGGTCCGTTAATCTGTCTCCCTTAGCAGCAACTGCTATTTCCTGTCACAGATTTACTTAATTTTCTTTTTCATTCATTATTATGCAAGCCACAAGTGGCACGCTTCTGTGATAGACTGCGATCTCACCTGTGTTTTGAAGGTCAATCCTGTCTATGAGTGCGGCCTCAGCTAGTAGCCTTCGGTACATTGAAAGTGACGATATGTAACAGCTACAACTGACAACAGTGTCGGGCAATGTGCTAGAACACAAGCAGAAATGGCGTTGTCTAAAGTAATGCTTCATCACTTCAAGATTATATGAAGTCAGTTATTATGTCAATTACCAATATACCAAAAAGTTGTGGATAATTCAAATTGCTAAAGACAATTCAAATTGTTATGTTTACGGGGATTTAAGTAACACAAGTGTACCAGATTTTATTCGAATTCAACTTGCAAAAGGCTTATTGCCAAAGTGACTCAGGTTACTTTTGGCTCATTTTCTTCAGCTGTGTTGCATTTAAGGTTTGTGGTGTTGATCCTTGAGTGTCTATCACTGCACTTCACTTATCATGTTCTGCAATGATAACTCAACTGCTTAAGCTGCTCAAAAGTCAGAGCACTCCAAACAACCCTGGGCAACTCTTTAAGCTAGCAGTGAAAACTGTTTCCCCTCTCAGATCTTTACCCCAAACTCCGTGACAAGCTAACATTTAGGACAGTACTCATTGCCAACTTTTACGAAGCCTCTGAGCCCGTAAACTTCCTGACAGCACAAAGTTTTTCTCAGTGGGAAAAAGCCACTGCCAAACAAGTCCACAGAGATCCAACCTGTCTAACTTCCAACCTCTTCTTAGGAGTGAAGGGAAATGTGTAAGGGCCATTTACTCAGATGACGGTTAGCACTGATGAAAAAGTGATATGCTGTGCAATATAGTACAAACAAATGGCAGAACTCCACTCGCCATGAAAATGATTTTCCACAGGAACAGGGCAGCCACATGCTGCAGGGAGAATCAAAAGTACAATGAGGAAGCGCATGACAATGCCAGTCTGTGATGTCATACGTAACGATACCACTGACTCAACAAGGCCAGAATGCACAGTCCTGACACACTGCACGATGTGTCCACTCTCTGTGTATACTTCAAGTGCTGGAGATTATGGTTTCAACAGGAGACCAGTCTTCAGCATTGTTTACCAAGCAGAATTCCACATTTGCACATCTGTGTAAATAGGCTCTAGGAGTCAAACTTTTAGAAGGTGGTCTGCCAACTATTGTTGGAATTAAAATATGGTCATTTCAAATCTTGCATCTTGCATCCATTAACCCCTTCACGCTGGGACTCGTTAAGACACGCTGTAAATATTGAGATCCTCAGCCCGCTTTTCAGCAATTATTCTCGGCCCACGCTTGAGCGAACACAGTGAAAGAAGGCAGACCCTGGCTCGTATGTCTATGGTAATTGGTCTTTGTGTGCAGCCCAGAAATGAAAAGACCGAATTTGCATCATAATCCCCAGCTTCACAATAGTGGGCTTACAAACCGAGAATTTGCAGTTTGGCAGGTGGCCTTCGCGGCCAAGCGAGGCTGGAATTCTTGGAGGCGGCTTTCGGAAAGAAGTTCCCTTCGAGAAGGGGTTAAAAGGCACCAATGTTTTTGTGGGTAGCTGTTCCGAGTTGGCTAAATGGCTAACTCATAAAAAAAATGCTATCTTTATGCCCCAAATGCAAAATATACAGATAGAAAACAAAACAAAACATGAGATACAAGCTGAGGGAGAATATTATATATTACCACGTTTTGTAGTTTGAAGAGGTACATTATTACTGCAAGGTAAATTCATGGACAACTCCACACTTTTTCGGGGGAGGGGGGGAGAGCCCCTGTCCATCATTCTGCAGATTAACTACACGTGTGCATTGTTCGCACACTCAGAAATTCTCAATAGCCTATGGGTTTTGTGCAAGAGAAATTACGACCTTCGCTGTGACCGGTGCAAATTAACTGTTTATCTGGATTTCTTTTCAGAGCCTTTACCTCAAACATGGTATCTTCAGTATGTTACAAACCCCAAATTGGCCAATCTTGTAAAATTAAAGCCAAAGTTAACATGTTCGGCCTTAAATTAATTAATTAAAAAAAAATATCAGCCTATCTTGGGAAAAGCTAGCTGCCTCTTTTGCTTGGCTTCTACACTTGCCAACAATCTTCTCTGCCTCAAAGCTCCATGAGGTCTTATGATACCGCTTCACGATCTACTTACTCTAAGTCAGCCTTCTGTTCTTTAGTTGGCATGGACAGCTTCACAACCAGCCTAGGGTTCTTACTAGCTGTCATCATGGAACGAAACTTACTGGTGGATGCTGAATGAGACAGAAAGTTGCAGTTAGATGTGTACGTTCAGTATAGGGAAAAAAGAAGGCAACACTGCTGGGCTTTAGAATGAACGTCACTTCACAGGAGCAAGTATTTGCTGCCCACGGTGCTGATATTTTCGTTCCACAGGAGCAAGTTACTGCCCAAGAAGTTTGGAGCTCTGATAGACTAGACTAAATGCACAAATGAATTAGCCTGTCTCTTTTTCAGATGACCTTTACCCTTGGAATGACACAGTATGCAGAGTGTGATATAGACTGTGATATATGGATATTTGCACATATGCTACAAGTTCCTATAAACCAACTGATGTCTCCTCAATCATGTGTCATTAAATTATTCAGTATATTCAACGGTGATTTATACTGTGTTTTTATTGGCAAACCACTTAACTACATCTACATGTATGTGTGCATGTGGTAGGCAAAGCTGAAACTCTTCTCGCAGACAAAGAATGTTGCACATGTGCACACAGAGAGCAGTCAGGCACTTCACACAAAAAGACAAAAGTCTGGTTATGGCTGTCAAAGTGAAGACTTCAAATTGAGCTTTTAAGCTGTACTGAGAAATGAAAACAATGACTTGCACACAAAGAGGATTTATTCAGGTGCTCTATAAAGCAGTCCATGTTTCACACCTGTGCAATGGAAAGAAAAATTTCATTCCACTCGCCACTTGATTCATTTGTACAGCACTTCCTGGTTCTAAATGACGTCATGCTTTGGTACTCTATATCACTACTGCACTGCCACTTGCCATGGAACAATCAATAAGAATCAAGGCTTCGAATTTTCTGCAAGAGAATGTTTGATATTACTGCTACAGAAAATTTTCGGCTGTAACCCCCCCCCACCCCTTTCAGTGAAATTAAGGTTTGGGTCTAGATAGTCAAGATTTGATGTCTGCAGCTTTTTGCATAAACTCTGGTACCAGCACAGCTCGACGCTGGCAGAAACAAGATTGGAGCCGCATAAAACATGCCACTCTTGCTGAAAGCAACATTAGTATTTTCTTTTGATCCCCATTACTGCCTGATCTGGCATCTTTTCCTGCCTGCCAGACACACAAAGGTCTCAGTTTTGGTCTGTAACATTGTAAACTTAAAGCCCGTACAATTATGGATTTCAACCGATCATAACAATTCAATATTTCACCCTAACGCCAGTTACTTCCAGTGTTGTAGTCGAGACCTTCACAAGACCATGCGCAAGACCAGTTAAAAGTAAAAGCGTGAATAATGACAAAGGAATGCTTTTGTTGCAGTTCATTTGAATAACTTGTGGCTTGAATTCAGACTAGAGGTCTTGTGTTGGTCCACAACACTGGTTGCTTCATTATTTTCAAACTAAACTTACACTGATAATTACTGTTGAATGTGATGCTTTTGTCTAGGCAACATGAGTGATCATAAAAAATTGGCTTACACCAAAAATGACCCCGAACAATGGAACGAAGGCTCAATGTCGATGAACGACCCTCATATGAATACCACGGTGAGGAGTGATCTTAAATGCAGGCCTGCCAACCTCTTGGATCACAAAACTGTATTCTAACAATTCAGAAGTCGTATTTGTTATTAAAAATATCATATTTTGCAAAAAATGACCATGTAAAAGCCCTGCAATGTACGACACAATTTCTTTGCCCCGCGCCAGTTGCCACGAAGCCCTCTATTTCCTCAAAAGTGGAAAATTTGCTAAATTTATTTTAAGCCGCATATTTACAGTGGCCATAAAATGTATGCTACAGTACATGAAATACTGGAGACGGTTTGTCACTACTTCCATTGATGCACAAGCGGCTTTAGAGAGTCCTATTAATGCATGCATGAATATTGATATTTCCTGAGCAGCCAATCACAACATAATGATTGGTTGGTTGCTGGATGCTGTTTACACACGAGGTTTGTACAGGTACATGCATATCCTGTACACAAGTGCATAGTGTACATGTACTGTATATTGGCAGCTGCTTTTTTCTAGCATAATGTACACTCGCAACCGTTGGACTTCATGTACAATTTTTTTTCAGGCAAGTCAAAATGGCCGAAACCCATATTTTATGGGAGGGGAATGTATGATCGTATTTACAAGAATTTCCCGTAGGAAATACAGCTAAATCGTACCAGTTGGCAAATATGTTCAATACAATTGGATGACTGTGCAGCCAAAGAGCTGCTGGGGAGCCAAGCTCACCCAAGAAAGGATTTCTGGGACTGACTTTCCAACGAGGTGAATGTCACCTCCAAAGCTCACCTTTTCTGCTAATGGAAGGATCCACATCCACATCTGGTTCATATGGAGTTCCTCCTTTGATGGGTACCTCATAGACCCTGTATGCAACAGTATTGTTAATATGTAACAACACAGTTTGCTCTTTTGACGTCACAGTCGTGTTTTACAACAAGTGGCTGCTAAAACTATAGTTGGCCATCGTTACAAAAGTAAAATTCACAAAGTGCTAAAAATTCCACACAGCTATCAGAACACCAGACAATAACACACATACTTCTAAATGCTAAATGAAAGAAAGTAACGGAGGCAAATGATCCATTTGAAATAAATCTGAGGTACTTTTAAAATAGTTTCCAAACACACTGCTTTACAAAGATCTTTAAAACCTCCATTCCATAATTGCTTACTTGTTGACTGCTGGTCCCCCTGTTGCTTCATCAAACAGTGGTAGGTGCACCCAACCACAGCTTAACTCTCCCTTCTCACCTGTTTTCTGAACATCACAAGATTAAAATCAATCAGTTTTGCGTTGGATTTCATAGATATTCACAGGTGTATCAAAGATTTTCAGAATTAGCAGAAGTGCATATATCTCTGTTGTTAGTCCACTCTTTAAAAGCACAATGATTCTTTCTCAATTATAACACATCAAATGTGCTTACTGTTCGTAGATATGATATGCAGATTTCAAACAGAATGCCTGAAATAAAAAAGAAAGATTCCGATTTACTGAATTAATTTGCAACAGAAATACTCTGGTTTTTCCAATCTTCCATTATCGTGTTGGGGATTAAACACTGCAAAAACATTTCATTACATCTTACTTTAATGTACTGTGCTTGTGATAGGTTATTACATTCATGTTTAATTTGATTACAATATTAGGAATAAACTGAATGCTTCATCTGTCTTCCTATAAACTGAGTATGTACTAACCTGCTGAAACCAATATTAGACCCCCTAGGGTGTATGTAAAAACCATATAGAAATTGGAGGATTGAGCACTGTTAGGGTTTAATTAGGATGTGCTTCTCACCAATGTTCTGATCTGTGTGATTGGTACGAACAAAGCAGTCCCCATCCAGTGTGCTTGGTAGCATGCTTGTCATCTGAAAGGCGAAAAGAGTCAGTTGTGTACAGGTCCATGTGCAAAAGTCCCGGTGGCAAAGACAGAGGCAGAGTCAGTAATGCCACGGGTGCCGCGCGCCTGACACTCAAAGAAAGATCTGACAGGTTTGCAAACTGGGATGTAAAACTAGTTGAGTGGACTTAATGCCATGCACAGAAGCGCGGCATGGGGTGTGTTGGCCTAGCAGGATGCTGTTGCCAACTGACTGCACTTTCCCTTGTTCATGCCTAAAGTTAACGTATAGACCGAGTATCAGTTAAGAATAGTCTGAAGAGATACCACACTTATGCAAGGGTCCGTAACTTGGGTGCTTGCACACAAGGGCAGGTCACAAGATCCTACTGGTCGGAGGGGTATGTAATCACATGCATACAACTTGTGTGCAATCTCAATGGCTTCTTAAGTCAACAATGTTTTATTAGTTGGATTACGAACCCACTGATTCCAAACAATGCAATTTTAGAAAAAAAAATTAATGAAAAAATTGACACAAGTTTAACCTCAACAGCGGTTTTGGTGTTTTGAAAAAAAATGGTCTGCTCGAACCAAAGATAAGTTAATTGTATGGGAAAAATAAAACTTCCTATTTTTTTTCCAGTACGCCAACCCAGCAAAGTTTCAAATGTTTTCTAATCCAAAAATTACAAAAAAAGGCTGTAGTCAGATCAGTCTAAAAGATGGTTTGTCCCTGATACCTTTGGTGAAAACTTCCAAGTCCTGGGGTCAGACTCCACAAACGTGGCCTGCACTGTGTGGATGTTACTTAGGACCTGTGAGAGCACAATAAAAAGGGAATGCAGCGTAAAACAAGTGGAAGGAAAATTCGACATTGAGTGAATGGAGTTAGACTCGGCTTGCCAGAAACCTTTGATCCTACGAAAATACTCTGTGCAGAACTTTCACTAAAGCCCTAGCCAAGTGAAGTTTCATGTCATTTAGGGCAGACGGGAAGGATATGGTAGATTTTAAATGAAGTAATAGCTGGGATCTGGAAAGTCTGATTCATGCTGCCTGTCTGCTATGTGTACGTTATTAGCCTTCCGCTGCTTAACAAGGGCACTTTTGTGCCCTCTGTTAGCTTTGCGTGACATCTAATCTCTTTTGCCAGTCCATGGAAGTGCCCTAAGTAGAGTGGTAAGCTCACTGTAACCAATGAAACATCTGCATTTACTGAAATAAAAACTCAATAAATCATAAAACTTGGTTAATCAATTCCAATGGTAAGCTGATAAGAAGGGAGGAGGGAGCAAGGTACGACATCTAGTCTCACCTTATCTCCATCAAAAACTGCCAGCCGTATGTGTCTTGTCTTGATCTCCAGCCCTGCAATATCCAAAACATAATTCCCTCAAGTGTTAACTTGAGGGAACTTGATCTGCTGATGCCACTGGCCATGCAATAGTTATAATACATAAAAGAACGGCCCTTGTACGTTTTGTTCATTTGTTTTTGTTTAGCAAACGAATATCAAACAACAAAAAAACAAGTCGTTTTCTTTGTTTCGATTTTAAAACGAAAGAAAAATTTGATTTTCAATCAAAAAAAGAATGAACGAAATGTACATGGACCAAGAATCTCTTTTTTTTTGTTTTTCCAGTTGAAAATAAAAACAGTAGTATTGTTTTACATTTTAATCCCTATTCCCTTCGACTGCACACAATTTCAGGGACGTGTCACAGACTTCTCAGAGAGCTTTTCAAGACAAAAGCTACCTTTAAATATGCAAGAAATTTCTTGTGAGTTGCTCCTCCTTTTACTTTAGAAGCAACAAATTCCTCTAATTCAGCCATGTTTGAATTGATGGCTTAAAAAGACGTTTCTTACATTACATGGTGAAAAATGGAACTGTTTTTCATTCTGAAATATTGGAGCAATAGACTACATTGGAGTTTATTTTCACATTGGCAAATGAAAACGGAACATGATTATTGTTTTCTCTTTTTAAACGGAAGACCAAAAAAAATGACTTTTTTGTTTTCAAATTGAAAAACGAGAAAGGACTCGTTTTTTTATTTTCATTTTTAAATCGGAAAACAGAAAACGACTTGGTCTTTGTTTTTTCTATTTTCATTTTCAATTCGAAAAACAAATGAACCAGACATACACAGACACAGGATGCAGTTAACAGCACATGTGTACTTGGCGTATTAAATAGCAGCTTAGAGGTTTTTGACAATGGTGAACGAACACTTCAAGCCAAGCTACAGGCCAGTGACTAGGGTCCTGACCCACCTGCTCCAACTTGGGGCATGTTCTTGAGCATCATGAGAGAGACCATCTTCTGCACACGCACAGTACGAGCTCTGATCTGTAAAACAAAATAAAATACTTTTGCCAACACATTCATGAAGGGAACATAGAGAGAAGTATTATTTTTATAACCCGGGTATGTTTCAAAAATTTTAAATATAAGAAGTGTTGCAAACTGCTTGCTGGCTACAAAATCCTAAACTAAACATATCAAAACAGAGGGCTTGAGAGTTTCCCAGCACGATCTTTTTCAAAGGCAAAATAGGTATTTTTCATTTTCAAAAACATCTCATATTTCCATGCCTTGCTGTAACCCTGACATTTTGGTCCACATTTTAAGAAGGGGACTTCATTCAACTCTCTATCAATCATTATACAGCAACAAAGAAACTTTGGACAACACTAATCATCCCCCTAAGACTCTTTTGTCATCATTAACTTTGAATTGCCAGACTACAATGTATTCAAGTAGTCAGGTCCATTTGTGGACCGTCACTTGAACATACCTGATTGTCCTTGGGATTCCAGTATAAATCCTTAAAGGCAAGATAGGACTGGCTCAGACGAGGCTTCAGCACATTGCTCAACATGTATTGGTCTATCACAAGAAAGAACCAAACTGTCAACACTACTGCGAGATAAAAAACTTTAATAAAAACGAACTAACACATGTATAGACTCTGCAGAGGGCAGACCATTTTGACTGCACTTTAACTTTGCTTGCATTCTGTTCCGAGTGATAAGCTATTTGCAGTACAAAGATCAGTTCCAAGCCTGCAGCTTAAAATACGCATGCAGATAAATTTTCATATCCTGCGCACAGCAGAGGCTTCTTTTTGACGGTAGCCATGAACTGCGAAGCTAATTAATTGGTCATAGCTTTCCTAAAGACGGCCCTTTGATCACTATACTTTCAGGAAGAGCATTCCCATACTTGGGTTTGGAGTGTGATGAAGGATCACTGATGACATGCAGTCCTGGATTTCATCTACGGCTTTGTGGTGAATGGAGATTTCCAGGCAGGACTAAGTGATGACCATGCAGCTTTGACAAGGGTTATATTGAAGGATGCCACGTACTGTGCACTGACTGAGTGTGATTTCTTTTTGTGTGTGGTATCTCGCTACACAAAACACTGATCAACATCATTTTTACTGAAGAACAAAAACCATCCCCAGTGCTGTCCCCCAAAATCGGGACACTGTGCCAGGGATGTTACCTTCTTTTAGTAGTCTGGCTGTGGTGGAGGGTCTGAATCCAGACGGGATAGCACCCATTGCAGTTAACACGTCTGTCACACTTGTCTAGAGGACAAGAAAAAAAGACAGATAAGGTGGCTGATGTGATTGTCCGGATGGTATAGATGATGTACAAACTCACAGGTTTCAATAGCATGACCTCGACTTTCTACAGATCAAACTGATCTATTTCAAACTTCGAGCTTACTTTTGGAAATATTTGGTTCATGAAATATTTAAACTGCTTGTGTGGCTGAGTGCACATACATACATGCAGAGGTTACCTGTCTCCCACTGTTTCAGATGACAAGTGGTTATCAGATCAGTTAACTTTTGCACTTTCAGGCCAGAAAACTCTTGCAAAATTCATTCTATGCCACTAAAAAGGTTTCAAACTTTCACAATGCAATTTCACTCAACCCCCATACACACAGAACAGAATTTTCGACATTTACCTCGTTCATTGCTTTTCTTAGTCCTTTCCACAGCTCCAAACCTCTGGAAAGTAAACAAAATTTGACAGATATTGGTTCTGCAAGAGCTAACAGACATACAGTATCCCCAAAACCTTTCAGGAATCAAGCAACCACCAGCCATGTAATAACACCACAGACCGACTAGCCAGCCTGGTTGGGTATAAAGTGCTTCACTGCTTCACCGGTTCCAACCCTTCCTTTTGCACATGCTGCACAGAAACCAACAGGACTGTACTCAGCTGAACCAGCTAATCTTAGGACTATGTCTAACATGTACTCATCAAAATAAATTTCCCTGGCAAAACCCGCAGAAAAGACCTAGAAACAAGTTAGCCCTTGGGAAGATGTTACATGCATATTACAATAAAAGAATTTGGGTTTCAAACTTACGATTTTCGACGACCACCTTGTGCACGTGCCTGATCTACAGAAAAGAAAAGTTTTTAAAGGCATGAAAATTTAAGACATGAAATTTTCGGAGTTTAAATATTGAATCTCCACGTTTGTTGAACCTCAAATGGAGGACACATAGCAACAAGCAACAAACTGGTCAAAAGGAAATTATCAATTATAGTTCACAGCAGTCAGAGGCCAGAAATGGTTTTCTACCGAGACAAAAAGTATGCGGTTTGCTTAACTACAATTCACTTCCACTTCAAATCCTGAAATTGGCTTCATTTAGCAACGATTCTCTGAATTCATGTGCTTAAATAGGACAGAGCACACATACGTCTGTCTGTAAGTGTCCCAGTACACCAATGCCCTGAATAAAACTTGAGTTGATTTAATAGTCCTAAATCCTCAGATTTCAATGATTTTACATACACCCTTGGGGGATAGGGTTAATCACACTGAATTCAAAGCCTTCAAAGTAGACAGCTGTACTGATGACCAAAGATGACAGCTACACAATTCTCAATCTATGCTCATCATCCCATACAACATTTTTTTAACTGACATACCTTCTTCCTCAGGAGACTGTACGTCCCTGTAGTCACCGTAATCTTTCTTCAACTGAAACAAGTGAATACAATAATTTGGAATGATTGGAACGTTCAGGTCGGAATTCACCTAAGCCACGGCTGCAAAGCAACAGATTCAGACACAGCTATACCTTGAGGTAGGTGCTGGGTACCAGTCCCCGGTTCCCTTCCTCATCTTCAGCCATCCACCATCCATCGTCTCTGAAAAGATCAAGTAAACTGTCATTGCTATAACAGCTGAATTTCCTCAAAGTGCACCCACTCCAACACACGATGTGCACTTCTACTCATAAAAATGCATTCCTTAAACTTCCAATAACAGCTTGAGCATGATATATGTCTTAACTATGATCTAGCTATGCATTAAGTATCCTATGCATGCAATTTGAAGATAAAGAATACCGAGTCGGAGACTTTACTTAACAAGTCTTGACTTATGTTGCCTCCTGGAGGTTGTTACGGCTCGTCACTAAAATAAAATACAGCAGGTTTTGAACAACATGCCCCCCCCCCAAAAAAAAACAGGTTGGCACTGATTAACACTCTGAGATCATTCTTGTAAGTTGGAACACCCCATGGCCAAGACTACGACAAGTAACATCTCCTGCAAAAGGAATTGTTTTCCCCACCAAATGTACTTGTTATTAGCTACCGTGGCATCTTAACGGCAGATTAAGTACATGTACATGTATGTCTTGCTATTTCGTAGTCTGTAGTTGTAACTGACCAACCTGGTATTTATGACAGTTAGGATGTCACCTCGTCTGAATGCCAAGTCTTCAGTCTGCTCAGGAGCAAAGTCGCAAACGGCCTCATATCGCTCCATCTTCAGCCAAAAATGGTGAATTTACTCATAATGAAGTGGCAATTCAACGTAAAAGAACATAACTGTGACATGAAAAAAATCTAACCTAATGGAATGATTCCTGCTGCCTGTCAGTTAATTTGGATGGGAAACTTCTAATAAGAAATTTCAAGTACACGTCTCCTGAATGCTTGTCACAAAGTTTAATCCTTCTATATTTTGATTAACTGGATAAAGACTGAAATGATAGTGCACTTTTTATCTGCAAAATAGAAGTAGAAATATTTTGATTTTTAGCAGCTGCCCATACAAGTGATTGATGCACACACTGCAAAGAATAACTGGGCATAATGCGTACGAGCATGAAGGTACTCAGGGCAGCTTAGCAAAAGGTGATCATTGAGAAATAACAGGGTAAAGGTGGAAATCAGTATCCTTGCTCTGGTGTCATAAACGTATCCCCTTGAGTAAACTATGCACTGGTAACTCAGTTACCGAGAATACTCAGTCACTCAGTGTTGCAGTTAAGCCCTTTCCGAGTGCTTTTTGTCACCAGCAAAAACTGAGCTGTTTAATGTGAACACAGCAAGAGAGATATGACAGTGGACTGAGACATGACAGTGGACTGAGATATGACAGTGGACTGAGACATGACAGAGGACTGAGACATGACAGAGGACTGAGACATGACAGTACACTGAGACATGACAGTGGAGTGCAAACAACATTAGCTGCAGTGGGAAACAAACTTGGGATTTTTGGCACGTTGCACTACTAGATTAATCACTGAGACAGAAGTATTTATGTACATGTAGCTAAAAAATACTTTCCAAAAACATTTGGTTCAAAAGTCTTCAATGTTTACAAGTATCTGGAAACTTGGTACTCTGTGAGGTACTCAACTGCACCCATCTAGGTAATGAGAAGCATATCCTGGTTATGTCTTGACGGAGTCTTCTAGCGAACATAACAGCAGGTGCTCCTCAGTTCAAGTGGTATATGGCTCACCCCTTCGTCCGGAGGACTGAAGATGTCGCTTGCATTTGAGCCTCCTGTTCCACCCAGCTCATCAAGGTACTGGGAGTCATCTTCATATTCTTCGTCATCTTGCTCCTCGTCTTCGTCTTCCCTGAAATGTTACCCAATGAAGCCAAGCCTGTACACATTTCTGTTTGAACCCGTGAAAATTATTTTTAAATTTCTGCAAGGTAATCTGATATACAATCCCATTACGTATATCTTTACGAGTTGTACACAATTCTTTTTGGTCATGAAATTAAAAGAGTAAAATGATGAAGCTTTTTCCAACACCTGATTTTCATTTCTGCTAGTGATGGGTATTGTTATGTGCAGTTGAGTATATTTACATAGTATCTGCGCAATATAAATGCTCCTTATTATTATTATTATTATGATGGGTACCTTCAGCTGACCTTAAAACATGCCACTGGGACAGGAGGCAAGAAAAACAAACAAACGCAAACAAAGCAACAAAAAACAAAAATGATTCTTGGGATAGACAAAATTTTGAGGGTAAACTCACATTTACTGTTGGTTATTCAGGCACTGAACTATTGTGGCACGTGCTTGTTATGCAATGATTATGCAATGCTAATAAAAATCAAACTGCAAGACAGAGCCATTCTTTTTAGACAACAGGCTTAGTTAGTTCCAAGGAAAAAAGTCAAACAATGCTAACCATACCAACCCTTCTCAATTTTATATTTTAAATGCAGAATACTCTACATCTTGTACATTGAAACCATGGGCCCTTTTTTTAAAGTTGAAATTTGTTTCAAGCATGAAATCTCAAGGATGATTCTCACTCCTCGTCATCTTCGTCATCTTCTCCCTCCTCCTCGTCATCCTCTTCCTCAGAAACCTCCTCTCCCTGTTCCTCATCCTCAGCTGATACTTCTTCATCATCTTCATATTCGTCATCATCATCCTCTTCTTCGTCCTCATCTTCATCATCCTCTTCTTCTTCACCATTGTCCTCACTTTCAACCTCCTCTGGGAGTGAATTTGCCTTCGAGGTTCCCGTATTTTTGGCTGCGTCCTCTTTGCTTGTCGCTTGCTTCGAGGTTGCATCTTCTTCTTTGGCATCACTGCTGGTGGATGCTGTCATTTTCCTGTAATTTGAAAACTCAGATGACTCAGAATTTCAGAATTGGTCGAAAGAAATAGACTTTAGTATAGCACCGCATGCAGGGTCACTCAGGGTTAGATGCCTTTTAAATCCCCAGTGATTTCAAAATCATCCCAACTTGGTTTCAGACTTACTTCACAGACGCCGTCATTACAATGTACATACATTGAACATGGATGCATCTGCAAAGCTGCTGCATTATCACAAAAAAATATCAGAGGCGAGAATATTGCTCAGATGTAAGAGGCAACAAAACATGAGACGATTTTCTCTTTTATGTTTTATTGCATTTGACTTTGGTTATCAAAACAACGTTGCATCACAGTGGCATGAGGTAAGGCACATTAAATTTCTGTGACCCACTGTACTAGATGATTTAAGGTTGCTTTTGCATAATTAAGAGCACTTCAGGAAATTGCTCCTCAGACAATGATTGGGAAGAATTTGTAACTGACCAGCAACAAGTTCCCCTTGTAAATCATAACCAATGCTTAAATTTTAAGTTATCACAATCCAAAATGGAAACATGACGCCACTTGAACAACATTCAATGTTGAAACAATGTCCTGAGCCCACTTGGATATTTAGGGCCTACAGACTAGAATTTTGACATGATGGTATCTTTTTAAAGCTTTCTTCATCTTTTTTTAATCAAAAATACGTACAAGAATTGAACAAAATAGAGCTCTCCAGGTGAACATGCGTATTTATTATGATGTGAGGGGCAATTACGCACCCATATATCATTTAAACTTGAAATTTAACAAAAATTATACAAAATATTTAATGAAAAAATGTTGTTTTAAAAATTTGATGGGTTTTAATGGGATTCAAAATGCTTTTCTGGGCACATTTGAGGCTATTACATGTATATGTAATCTGGTCCTCAATAATAGGACAAAGGGTACAATCATGAATGACAGTATATAACAGAGTGTTAGTATTTCAGTACCATGTGATTCACTGCCACTATCAACCATAAGAACACACTGTGTTCAACATTTCAAAGAATTTTGTTGGGTTAGGCTACGTTAGAGTTGAGCAGTCAGCAGATCCTGTAAGGGGTGCTACAAGTTTCAAACACACACATGTACGTGAATGTACATGTAAATTACATTACACACAAGAAAGGGAAAACTTCAATGCACTCCACCTGTTTCACAATCTGACACACACACACACAGAAAACAAAATGAGAAATTCAAAATGGGACCAAATCACAAAAATCAAGTAGTGCATTTTAACAAATGTTTTTACAATGGAACAAAGGAATGTGGCAACCACACACATGCAAACCTATGGACTCCATGCACAGAAGAAAGGGCTACATGTATGTAACCACAGGTTGATGTGATGGCTACGACTAGAAATACACGATATGTAATCCCTTTGCCTATGAAAATCCCTGGCTATCGCTGCAGCCACTTTCCACCAGACATGTGTTAATATGGGCGATTCACAATACAGTGCGCCACCAAGAGGTTTCCATGAAAAGATATTTCCCACGGTGCATTGTGGGAACTGGTCGACAAATTCTATTCGCCCACTGCGTGCAGGGAGCTTGAACTCTCCTCGATTTTGTTTGTCAGGAAAGGAGATTCCTTGGTATATTTCGGGTAGCAGTTTAATCAATCCTTTCTTCTTTACATTACATGGAATGTCCCACTCTATCAAAATTTCCCCAAGCTGTGCGCCGACATGCGCTCAAATGAAAATTACAGCAAGAAGACAGTGGTTTTTGTCAACCTCTCCTCGACAAATGGCCTCTCCATTGCAACCTACATGTGTTGATGGCACACTGTACTATAAATTGCTCCTATTACTTCAAGATACAACCAGTTAGCAGGGACCCAGCCTTAAGGCCCACCAACCCAGATGAGCGATAACCGAATACAGTGATAGAACATGGTACGCAGCGAGATGTTTTACAAGGGAAAAAAAACACTTGGTACGCAGTTACTGACTCCCGACAAATAACCAGTCACCCAGAGGAAGAATTCAAGGCACGATAAGGAGGCATCCAACCTTGCCAGTTAATGATCCTATCAGGACCAACAATTGGTCATAATGCAGCACAACATCTGTAGTACGTAAGTGCAACACATTCAACAATATCGCTCTGGATTCTAAAGAAATGCATGCCAATGCGGTGAGTACTAAAAAACATGCCCTCCTTTGTTCCGCTCAGGGTGGATAGCACTGCAAAGGGTAATGAATCGACAACAAACCAAATAAGTGTACAAACAGCCTGTATCTAACAACGTTAAACCAAGTACACACAAAGACAGTGAGGTGTTTTCACACACACAGAATGGTGGGAGGGGAGGTTAGGTTAGTCCAGTGCTGGTAGTAGGGAGGTTTAATCCTGAAGTGCACAACAACCAAATCCAACCAAAACGGTGCCTGTCACCTGTCAGTCTTGCGCTGGAATAGTTTCCATCCTTTCTTTTCTTTCGGCGGTTTGGGCTCCTCTGGTGGCACACCATCCTTCTTGCCGTCCTTTTGCCTGCGTCCAAAGGGGCTCTTCATCAGGCTCCGTTTTGATGCCATTCTGGGGGACTTGGCTTCCACAATATTGACTTCCCCCTGTTGTTTATCATCGTCTTCATCACCATCGTCATCTCCTTCATCTTCCTCATCAACCTCATCTATCTCTCCGTCCTCAACTTTATCCTTTCCATCGTTTTCATAATTTTCCTCATGATCCTCCTCTTCTTCAATGTCTTCATCTTCCTCATCTTCTTCTGACTGCTCACTTATTCCATCCAGTTGACTTCCGGAGGACTTGCCAAGCTTCCCTTTACCAACACCCTTCTTGTCGGCCCTTCCCTTCTTCTTCTCCTTCTCTTTCTCCTTCCGCTCCTTCTCCAGTCGCTCCTTTTCCTGCTTTTCCCGTTTCTCCTGCTCCCGCTTCTCCCGTTTGGCCTGCTCCTGTTTCTCCTTTTCCAGCAGTCTCTCCCGCTTCTCCCTCTCCTTTCGCTCTTTCTTGGTTTCTTCTGGCACCCCAGCCTCTGTGGCCTTCAGCTTTGCTGCCACATCTTTGGAACTCTTGGAGGACCGCCGGAAGAGGCTCATGCGCCGCAGTTTGCTCCCAGATTTTCCCGGGGAACTCTTCTCTTCCTGGTTCTCCTCATCCCTCTCCTCTTCTATCTCCTCATCTCCCTCCACATCCTTCTCTCCTTCCTCTTCCTCCTCTTCATCTTCCTCCTCTTCATCTTCCTCCTCTTCATCTTCCAGTGTGCTATTGGCACCTGGGCCAACACTGATCACCTTGCTCGTGGATGTCGCTCCTGCCTCATCCCCCATTTGGCTATAAAAGGCAGAGCAGCATGAGGCAGGCAAACATGGATGGGTTATAAGACATCAAAAAGTTGCAGTGTTTCATTCAACCAAAAGGCAATTACCAAATAATCCAAAAATCCATTCCCAATAAAAACCTTAAAAGCTTCAAGACAAGACAGTTGTTTCAACATCCAACATCCTTATTTCCAAAGCTCTCATAAACTACTGAATAAAGGAAAACCAAGCAGGATATTGATGAATGGTAAGAGCTGGGGACAAAGTAAATGTAACGTTCACTTCTGAGATTCAACTGAAAACACCCTCATGTCATCACACCTCTTGTGGAAATCTGTTCTTTTCATTTAAACTCCGATATAACACAATGTACAAGAATGCCAACACATTGACAGATGGCCGGGGTGCTCACGAAAAGGGGCAAAAATAAAAAGAGGAAGGCAGTTTGCTTTATTTTCTCTACCTTCCCAAAGTATAAAAAGCCCCCAAAGATAGCCCTACCAATAAGACAGGCCATACAAAATCACAAAAAAGAAATTCACTATTTTTGGCAGACCCCCCCAAAAAAATTAACACCATGAAAATGTGGTTCCGGATTTGCCCTTGCCCAAGCAGTGGTAAATTAATTTTTTGGGCATATCGCATGCAAACATGCACAATTTCTGGAAAATTTTAGTAGGGTACATGTATATGTAGTAACTGATAACTTGTCATCGCATGCTATCGTCATCATGCTCCATGCTTCAAGCAGTATTTCAAGCCTTTCTAACTTGGCATTGAAAACTTCAGGTAGTCTAAAGGGAATACCAAGGGTCAGTGTTGTAGGCAAGGCCATTGCTAGACCAGTCACGAGATCAAACACAAGACTAGTCACAAGACCAGTCACAAGACCAATCACAAGTAACAGGGTGAACAAAGACAAAGAAGTGTTTGGTTGCAGTTCATTTGAATAGTTTGTGACTTGAATTCAGGCCAATGGTCTCACACTGAGTTTGTGATGGCCTTGTGGGTTCTTGCGATGGCTTTCAGAAGTCTCAACTACATGTACACGCACATACAACACTGCCAAGGTTTTTCTTATCAATGCAGGTTAGGACAAGTTGAGCCTCGGTCTTCAGCTTTGCAAATTGGAGGAAGACATGCTTTGTGATCAAGCCATGAATCCTAGAGATGAAATGATGATGGTCTGAACCCACTTTCTTCAACCCCCCCCCCCATTTTGAAGTGGTGGCAGGATTTCCGGCTGTTAATAAACACATGACGTTACATGTACATGTAGTCGGCATGAAAAGAAGAATGCTAATTTATCTAACCGAAAGTACTCTTCCTCCGTCTCGTTAGGGATAAGACTCTCTTTGAGCTTCTCAAGACGATTCTGCATTCAAAAACAAAAATTAAACAAAACCAGAGGCATGAGGGAAAAATATAAGTTAAAAGTTAAAGGAACTGAAAAGGTGGTAATGCTTCCAAATCTTGAAAAAATAAAGGTGCACATTGAGATTTCAAATGACTGTGACAGACCGAGTTAAATTTCAAAGGATTCAACAGACATCATGGCTTGAGAAAAGATTAATGGAACAGGAGAGGACTGAGATCGTATCCCAAGTAAATCAACCCACAATCATTTTTCAATGACGAAAGATGGCACCTGGCGTAGAATTACTCAGCAATGAGTTTGGTGCCTGGTATTTCAACAAGCCATACTCAAAATAGAGATTATTCAAGAAGATCAATACATGCACATGATCAATGCAACTGTGTGACAACTTGCACGTACCCTGAACACGTTCAACCTGGCCTCACGCCAGGTGCCTTGTGTTTTCCAACGATCTTGCCTTTTTGAATATAAACTTGCTCATTCAAAGAAATAAAAAACTTGAATCCTGTTGTCTTTCAGATGCTTTCCCTTTACATTAAAGTATACATGTACAGTACCTTTGCTCTGTAGTGTATCTCAGTGTGGGCTGAGAGATGATTAAAAGAAAAAACCAACAAGTGTTCTCAGGGGTGGACTTACTGGTGGAGAAGTCTTAGACACACCATTCCACTCGGCATGTATTACATTTTTTTCAAACTGCTTTTCAAGGATTTTGAAGGGTTGGGGTCGTGTAGGGCTGAGTCAATTCCAATAATCCGTTATTGAAATATTCAACAATCAATCCGGCAGATTGTTGATGATTGGACTATATACAAAATCAGTTGCAATAACGCACGTAATTCTACATTATTATCACTACAATAGGTTCTCACGTCTGGGAGTATCTCCAGCCACAATTTAGTAGGTTTTAAGTGACAAACAACACTTCTTGTCCTGCTGAAAATTTCTTTTCCTTTTAAATTTTTTTACCCTAACCCCCCAGGGTGTATGTACAATCATATTGAAATTGGAGGATTTGGGACTGTTAGGGGGGGAATAATTCGCTTTTGAGAAAGATTTCAGTTGTTTAGCATTTGGATATGCGTGAAACGAATCTCCGTAGTGTAGTATTTCTCCTTTAAAACAAAAGAAAATTCATCCTTCCTTTCATGAATTTCGCAGTCGAATATTCAACTTAAGAAAATAACATTCTAATATTTGATAATTGATCAAATATTCAGATATTCAGCACGGCCTTAGGGTTACGGTCAAGCTGAGGGGAAAAAAGGCCTCACCACTTTAGGTTAAAAGCTGCAGGAGTGCCTTACCACTTACCTTTAGATTTCTGAGCCGCTTCAGTTCATCAGCTTTGACATCGTCAAATCGACTGATTGGGGTTGTTTCTTTACCCTAGAGCATGTACATCAAATAATTCACAAAAAAATGAACAAGGAAGACCAGAAACAAAGAAATTAATAATTCAAGGTTTGTTTCAAAAGTGACTAACATTTTAAAAAAGTCTCGGAATGAAATACAGGTTAACCAATTGGTGCTGAAGGACGTGCTAAAAATAAAACTTTTAAGACAGTTTCCTAACAGACCACGTACATGTAAACACAGTCTGACAAAAGTGGTGTACTTGAGGTAAGTAGGAGACGGGTTAAAACTTCGAAAGTTCAATTCATTTTCTATAAATGCTTGTCTGTCAAGATGCACCAAGTAATAGGCCTGAACTTAGCTTCCACACCTAGCCTGTCATTGCTGGAAATCCTATAGTGAACATACTCCACCAATTTGAGGCCGCGGAATGTTGCAAAATATGAAGTTACAGTGAACCCACTCTCAATTTGCCAAGAATTAGCAGTCAACATGGCTGATGTATCTTGTCTTTTTTTCTAAATTGCGTTTTTTCTGCCAGAAACACTCCATCAACTGTGGTCAGTTCACTGTGCAATAATCCTGATGTATAATCCTTGAATTTAGAAAAAGCACCATGTTTATTAAGATCACATGTTAGCCATTTTTGCAAACAAATAGAAACTACATGGAAAGGCTTGCCACAAACAAAACAAAACAAAAAATAAAGAAAAAAATAAAGTACTAGACATTCTGAAAGAATGGAACTGGGACTTAACAACCCATACCAAGATGAAAGCTTGTCGTTTCAAGTTTGGGGGAACCCTTCAGCCTACATTCCTTAGCCTGGTCTGTTTTGAGATCCCAAGTCAAAGAGACACTTACTTTAGTGTGTTTCGACACCCTCTGCTCCATCTTGGTAGTCTTCTTAATCAAGTCTTTGCTCCTGTAAAAATGGAGGAAGAAATAAGCTTCAGAAACATTACCTAAAACTAACTATCTACATGTACATGTACAGAATTACCCGAGTGGAATGAATGTCACATTCCAGGCAAATAACAAATTACTTGCATGTACATGTAAATGTACATGTATTTATTTGTAATACTATTGTAAGACATTTCTCAACTGAACAGGTGCAAAATGTAATTTTCTTGCATGTAGGTACATCCTTAAAGACACCAACATCTGTCCCAGTTTTCCACAGTTTTGAGGGATTTAGTTACAAAAAGCCTAGTAACCGATGCTTGGATGGGTTTTGTGCTTCGCAGTTTGCAATGGTAGAAGGAATGTGACAGTGACTTCATGATGTGCTGAATTTTGGCAAAGTCAGGAAAGTAAATCTAGCAAAAATGCTGAGGAAGGTGAGGGACAACAGTAAGCATGTGAGCAATTCTGCAGTAACCAAATGACATTTTTACATATGTACAGAAAATTAAAAGTACATCTTTAAATTTAAACTGGAGTTAAGATTTAATGCTAACAACATACACCAGTGGTTCTTTGTTATCTTATTTATTTGTATTATTTAACACATGTTCACCACTTTCTGAGTGTTTAAAAATGTCGTTCTGATACCATGGAATTGCCCATGTGTTATATTACAAATGCCATGCTGGCATGAGGGACAACCTTTGCAGTAACTTCTTCATGCGTTGTTTCCTGTCGGACAGCCCCATATCTTCAATGACTCCTTGGCATTCAACTGCAAAGGCATCCACCTGTAAGGAATGCATGAAGATATTAAAGATTGGAAACCAATTCTAACAGGTACTTATGCACATGCACACGTAGTCCTAGCAGGGCTACAGTCCCCCCAAGTCCCGTCACAAGTAACTGCACATTCATTGGATGACAAAAGAATGTTTTAGTCACGACTCGTTTGAAGATACATGTACATGAAGCTTGTAACTTCGGTTGAGACTGGACAGATGATGATTAATCTGCAGCTTGAGCTTGTAAGGACTTTAAAAGATCAACTTGACTACATCCCAAGAGAGGGTGCAATTTCCTAGCAATGGAGGCTACTCTGGTGGGAACAGCACTTCACTGCTTCTTGAACAACTGTGAAATGCAAGCATTGCAGTCACTTCACTACCAAAAAAATTGAACATTTCCCACCAATATGGCTCTTTTTAACTGATGAGGGGGTGCTTCTGCTCAAGGCAGATGACTCCTCATTTGGGTCACAACAATGTCAATAAATTACACAAAACAAAGAATGAAATTACTGTTCCATGAATTCCACTGCTATACAAGTAAATGAAATGGCACCATTTTCAACCATACGGTACATGTGTATACGGTCTTGTCATGATTCAGGTAAAAGCCTACAAAACTCAGTTTTGGTCTGTAGTATTGACTGACATGCAGACCTGCGTGTGCATCAACGTTTGATTGAGCTGACTGACAGGTGACTTCATAAAGCTTTGCTACAGTACATACACGTACATGTATGTACTTGGCCCAAGCCCCAATTGCAAATTTCCCACAAATTCCAAATGCCATGAGCCTTATGCCTAAGGCTGGGGGTAGACAAGCCACTTTCCTACTACATGGACATGTACACGCAGAGGCAGTCTACATGTACATGTAGTCCCAAATAAATCCGGATTCTAACTACTGTGTATGAGAGTCCCAAGATAAGCCATGAAAATCTGCACACCAGGAAAATGCATCTCTCCAACCATATCAACACCCTTCACACTGCACTGTACCCGTAGCCCAAGTAATTCCAGCCCTAACGCTCATGACATCAGAAGAATCTCCAGATATCATTAGCATTAGAAATTAGAGTTGGAGTTAATCAAGTTACAATAGGCTTACTGCAGAAATTCATTGTTATGTTAAACAGAGCATCTGGTAACTAGTCTACATTTCTAACGGACAGTACATGTACCGGTACATGTACATTGTACATGTAACCGGTACATGTACAATGTACATGTACATGTATGTCCACAGTTGCGCCACCAGTCTCCTGTCATAATGATCAATCTTTTTAAAAGTTGAACAAGAGTAAAATAAAATGGGCATGATTTTGTTTTGCATGTTTTTGTGCACTTGGGGTCTCACTCTCAGCCCGACATGCCAGTGTGTCCCTATGCAAGTTGGCCACTCATCACCAAAAATAGCACAATTGAGACAACTGTCAGTCCAGTGAAAGGGCAGTATGAAATCTCCCACTTAACATATTTTTGGGCTTTTTAAAAATTATCTTACATGTACATGTAAGTTCTAGCCATTGCAAACAACCACAGAGGCACGATCGCAGAGTATCTTGCCACTTCCATGATCCACCTCGTAGCCAACTGCCCGGTCAAACTGCCACGCTCTATTCCCTTAGTAAACACTGAAGGACACCTACATGTAGCAGTTAGAAACTGAATGAACAGAGTGTTTCAACTATCTCCGTTCAATTTTTTTGTTCCGTCATTCTCAGCAAGACCCCCTTTCATTTTACGTTTTTATCAGCGTTTCTGTTAAGCGCAATCTGGAAACTAGAGCAAATTTACTGTACTCCATTCTGAGTTGATTTCTCTTTGAACAAAATCCATTCATAAGATAATCAACCCAGGAGAGAGTAAAATAAATTTGGCAGGAGTCCAGATTGCATTTGATATTTCCAACAGCCCAGGGGCCAATTTCATTGAGCTGCTTAAGCACAAAATTTGCCTAAGTGCAAAAGAATTTTGTTTAATTTAAAAACGTATACAGGCATCACTTATTTTCTTAAAGTGGTGGGCCACTAGATGCATGTATCTGCCATCAGAAAGTAATTACTTGTCCTAAAATGTTTAAAGTGGCAGGGAAAATGTTGAAGCATTTACTAATAATTAAAAATTACCAGATCAGTCTTATTATCACAGGGTTTGTGCACAGGGTGTCAAGTGATGTCCTTGAAAGCCTAATGTATGGAATTCTTGGAAAAATATTCCATACTCATTGGCCTCTTTCCCAGGACTATATTGTGTTTTTTTGCAGACTACTGTATAAAAAAAACAGATAGCAGGGAAACAATGTTGCATCCTGACTCCACGTTTCTCATCACACATGTATATCATCTCAATAAAAGTAGGCCATTACAGAAATGCTGGAAAGACACGAATTCGGGACTGAGAAACATTTACCGATGTTGTTGGGAAAAACTTAGAAAATTCTCTTCACTCCCCATAGAATTTGTACACAACTGCTGAAGTGGAGTCAGGATGCAACATTTTTTCTGATAGCAGAATTATTCTAAATTGCCAAGTCATACAGTAAGATCAACAGAGATCAAGCCATCATGCAGATCAACCAACTGCACCCAAACATGATGTACATTGTAGGCCTTATAAGTTACATGTCATGTACATGTAATAAGCCTTATCGCAAATACTGAGTGGGTGATTTTGCACAATGGTAGAAAGACATTGAGGAAAGGAACAAGAGGCAATGTTTGCTCCTTTTTCTTCCCACAATGCCTTTCATGCCTTTCTACCATTGTGCAAAATCACCCATGCAGTATTTGTGAAAAGGCCTAGGCCTATGTCCATGACTGGAGTCGCCAAGTCCCTAATTTCACCACCTATATTTACTTTTGGTTTTCTAAGTACGTGTAAGTGGCAAAATATGAGACTTGGTGACTATACGGTCAGGGACATTACAATACATGGACACAGACATGACACTTGACAGACCTGGGGTTTTTTAGAGTGTTAAATTGATGCTACTTGACACCCTGTGCACACAAGAGACTGGTCTGAAACATTCTAAGTAGGGTAATTATAAGGACGGGAATTTTCGACCAGGAAAATTCAACCAACTGCATTCAAATCTACACACAACTGGTCGAGCTTCTTGCTTTTCTTACATGTAATTGTCATGTACATGTATGTGGTCCGATACCACTGCCCACCTTTACCCTATTTTCTAAGTAAACGACTTCGTATTTTCCCGCCTAAATTGAACTTTTCTGGACACGTGTTTGCTTTCTGATGGCTAATAGGTCACTGTAGGGAATAATTCTGGCGTCCGTATATGGAACTCTTCCCTCGTGGACATACAGTACATGTACGGATGCATGATAATGATAGGCAAGTCAATGGAGTACGACGTACGAGTTGAACGCACCTCTTTCTTCAGCGCATCTCCCTCGCGAATCAAAGTCCGCATATTTTCCTTTGGTGTCGCCATATCAACTCATCACTCAACACAGTTTATTACAAAACCTGCTGCTGCTGCTGCTGCTGCTGCAGAAGACAGATAAAACACCACGATGAAAATAAACTTATGGTTCGATCTCACCCGCGGAAATTTTTCGAATTCATGCAAAGGAATTGCACGTAAAAGGGCGCCCTCTACCGTATGCGTGACACAAAAATCGGTGAGTATAAAATGTACTAGCGCCATCTGTACCTGAAATGAAGGGGTGGCCTTGCCTTTTTTACTGGACATTCAAGATTATGACTTTTTTCAATTTTTTTCTCTATTGTCTGAGAACAAAATATCCCGAGTTCGAGCCTATAGAAAAGTTTAAACCGCGTATAAAAGTTAAAATCCATCAGGGAGGTATATATTTTGAGGTTTCCTCCACATAAAATAACCAAACTTGTCTGGGCAAACAAAACTTGGCCCAAACGTCGATGTTAAACGCTAAAGTAATATTTATTGTTAACCAGCGAAAATGATACTGAAAGTTGCCCTTTTTTAAGTTCCTTCAGGTGTGCATTCAATGCTTTGTAGACTATGATACTAAGGCATGACTGGACTGTCAAAGTCAGTACTGAGTCAGAAGTGCCTTAGGCTTTCGAAAAATCTAATGGACCTACAAAATACCACAGTGTTCCATAAACCACAAACAAGCCTTCACCAAAGTGAGAAAATAATTAAAAAATAGAACAAAGTATATGTGAAATAAATAAAAATTTAAAAGTTTTCCGTTTTGTGGTAGATACTCAGCACTCAGTGCTTATCGCATCAAACATGAACTTAAATGCAAGATGTCATCGCGTTAGGGAGCACTGGGCAGATGAATACTTATGCCTATTTGGAATACCCAATACGCCGCGACACAGAAGACACTTGCTAAGGGACGGGCCTTTTAGTGTATATACTTGGCTTAACGTTATAAATGAACCATTGCAAAATAATGTCGTGATGTGCGCGTCCGCGCCTCCTGTCGGCTGAAAAGATGTTTGTGACTGAAAAATTTACAAATAAAGTCTAGTAGCGCGTGATAGGTAAGTTATCGTACGTGACGCGACGTACGGGGCATATCTGCCTTTTTATACAAATCTATTACAAACCAGGGAGGCTTTTTGCAAATTTTAATTTGGCCCCAAATTAATGAGAGCAATGTTTGTTGCAGTACCAGCTCAGCATAAAGTTTGTTAAGCAGGAACATTTATGCAGAGCTACAGGGCTATGCTTTGGTATATTGTTAGGATAGGAATGAATGACAATTAGGCATGCGCTGCAGTTGCTAAAATGACATCAAAGTTTCCCTCAGCAAGATTGACTATGGGGTAGTTCTTATTAACATTGCATGTATATTATATTAGGCAACGACGATAGATTCATGAATAAACATTTGCCGCGCACGCAATCGCAATGTACCTTGCACAGCTGCGAGTCGAGAATGGGCTAAACCCTTGGATATTACAGAAAAGCATCGCTCACAATGACGTTGCATTGCTATGGTTATGCTTATTAATGATGCAAATCGCCGCACGTAAGTCGTTCAACCATACCGTCAAGCTTAGGCGTTCGACAATGCGACTCGTAAAAGGCTCGATGGTTTGTGGGTCTTACGCCATCCGTCCCTGTCTGCTTTTTAAGAGAGGAAAAAAAGTAGTTTCCTTTTTGTTTTGTTTTTAGCCCAAGTCGACAAACTCCTGCAAATAACGATGCCAAACTTTACTTTGACCGGCAGAGACGTACCCGCCGCGTCTGTCTATGACAGCTACGCTGGAAGCAGTTTTTAGCAGCTTTGTACGTTGTCATCTCTGTAGCTGGTGCGTTAGGTAACAGCTCCGTGTTGCTCGCCGTGGGTCTCTCGCGTAAACCTCGCACAGTCACCAACGTATTTGTGGTCAATTTGGCCGTAGCGGATCTCATCACTTGTCTGAGTTTACCCATCATGACCATGGCGGTGTTGAGCGAAAACAGAAAGAAGCTGATGGTTTCAGAGAGCCTTTGCGCTTTCCAAGGATTTATTCTCATCGCTTGCATTGGGTGCAGTATGAAGAGCATCGCATCGATCGCCGTCTACCGAGCCTTCATCACTCGTCGTAAAGGCAGAAGCCGTGCAATCTGGTTTTTCAACCATCGAGGTGTTGCAGCCATCGTTGCCGTGGACTGGCTCGTCCCCTTCGCAGTCGGACTCCTTCCCATTGTATCTGAGTTCGGCTCCTATGAATACGACGATAAACTAAGCACCTGTTCCTTCAACCCGACAGCCCCAGGCTCCGGTATATTTTCCATCATCCTGATCTTGGGCTACACCGTACACCTCCTCGTCATTTTCGTAAGCTATTCACTCATATGCTGTACGGTGAGGAAGCACTTCAAAAGAATCCGTGGAATCGTTCCCAACCAGCCTGTAGCCGTAGTTAGTGGAGTCATGAGGCCAACTGGACAGGCAGGTACATCAAGGCAACAACATCCTGCTGTTCTGACCAACAGGTTGCAGCTGTATGGTCAACGGCGGCGCGGACTTGGTGGACCTAGATGGGCCATCAGCCGTCAGCCACCGCCTGCCCATGTCAGACAGCCGCAGCCAGCTAGAGCCAGGCTCCCGTTTCGTCGAAACCTCGAAGTCACTCGCAGTTTGTTTCTCGTTGTCTTTTTCTTCGTCTTGTGTGGTATGCCCTACTTTGTGATGGCTTTCCTCCCAGACAGATCCCTGAAAATCGTTCCCTTTTTTGGAGCGCTTCTCGTCAGCAATAGCTGCATTAACCCTGTGATATACGCGGCCTGGCACCCGGACTTTATGAGGGTGTGCCGTTGCATCATTCTGTGTAGATTCTCGA